AAGAAAGAAAGAAAGAAAGAAAGAAAGAAAGAAAGAAAGAAAGAAAGAAAGAAAGAAAGAAAGAAAGAAAGAAAGAAAGAAAGAAAAGAAAGAAAAGGACTGGAGATAAAGTTCAGTGGCAAAGCGCCTCTGGGTTCAATCCCCAGTACTAGAAGCTAAGTCATGGTGTCTGAGAGACAGAAGGTACAACCAGACTCTCCACAAACTGGAACTAGAAATCAAGGCCACTCAGAACCAGGGATATACTCTTCCAATAACTCTGTAGAAGCTTTATTTTCACATTAAAGCTTCTCTGAGTTCCATATTTACATCCTCTCTCTTTGCTCTGTCTCTCCCCACCCAATATGTTCTTTCTCTTTTGAACAGATTTGCTCTCTTTTCCCATGCTGGACCATTCCACAACTCCTGAGTTTGAATGTTCACAGTCAGGGTAAACAGAGTTCTCCACCTCAATTGCCTACAGGAATCAAGAAAGCCTTATGCTTTGTCAACCAGAGCCACCACCATGTAGCCAACTCCCTGCAATTATCAGGGGGGAATATGATTACAGTGTTGTTTCTTTTTGTAAAACAGAAAAGAGCCAGAGATCTAGACATTTTTGTGAACTCTCCTACTTGAAAATTTTGGCACCCGGTTAAAAAATTTGAAATGGCCAACGAAACAGAACCAATTTATTTATGACCCAGATTCAGCTCATTCCATTTGTCTCAGGTCATGTGATTTTTCTCAAACCAGTTAAACTGTTTTAGACTATCACAACCCTCAAGAAAGAGAGTGTATGACTGATTCAGGGTGGTGATGCATGTCTGTTCTGGTCAATCTGCTTTGGTTAGAGGGACAGATTCCCATGTAACACAGCAAGGCTTTCAACCCACACTGAACAACGCTCAACCCCTGATGCCAAATCACTTCTACCCCTGGATAATCAGGACCTTATAATTTAAATAAAAAATCACAGGGAAATTTTCAAATTTCTACCTTGACAGCTGAGGCTGTAACTCATGGTAGAGCCAGCCCTTCCTAGCATATTCAATCCCCAACCTTGCAAAATATACAAATAAATAAAGTACCTTGTGGTTATTATATGAGAACGTGATTGCAGTGTTGATGATGGATGGCACCCCTGTCCCCCAAATTTCACAGAAATTCATAAATTCTATAACGTGTCTCTAGTTTTGCCATTAGGAACTGCTATGGTTTGGATCTTGAATGTTCACCCAAGGCTCATGTGTTGATGGGTTGGTCCCTACTTGATGGAGCTATTGGAAGATGGTAGAATCTTTAGGAGGCAGGACCTAGTGGAAAGAAGTTAGGACAGTGGAGAAGTGCCCTGGAGGAGGGTATTGGAAACCCACCCCCTTCTTCCCCACCCTCCTGCTGCCTTCTCTTTGCTTTCAAGCCACTGTTGAGGTGAGCAGTTTTGCTCCTCACATACTTTCCACTATGATGTGCCACCTCACCTCAGGCCCAAAAGCAACAGAGCCAAATGCCTGTTATGGTTTAGGTATAAGGTGTTCCCCAAAAGCTCATGCAAGAGATGATGAAAGAAAGTCTAGAGGAGAGATGATTGGATTATGAGAGCTTTAACCTAATTGGTGCATTCATCCACTGACAGTGATTAACTGCCTAGGGTAAGGTAACCTAGGCAAGTAGGGTTTTGCTGGAGGAGGTAGGTCAGTGGGCTTGTTCCTTTTGGGTTTATATTTTGTCTTTCTTGAACAAAACACCCTCTGCTTCCTGGTGCCATGTCATGAGCCACTTTCCTCCACCAAATCCTTCCACCACAATGTTCTGCCTCACCTCAGGCCCCAAGGAATGGAGTTGGTCATCTATGATCTGAAACTGTGAACTTCAAAATAAACCTTTCCTCTTCTTGTCAGGTCTTTTGGTGATAGTGAGAAAGCTGACTAACACAGTACCCAAGACTGAAACTTCTGAAACTGTGAGCCCTAATTAACCTTTCCTCCTTTTAAGTTGTTTATCTCAGGTATTTTGTTACTGCAATGACAGCTAACTAACAAGGTGGTGAAGTGCCTACATGAGTTAAAGCTATATAGACCACCTGGGATCTCTTTGTCATAAATGTATCCTTAAACCCACTGTACCTATATTATTAAATAAGAGTGGCATACTGAATGGAGAAATATTTAGCTTAAAACACACACAAAGTAAAGACTGCAAGTCATTGGATCTCATATCTTTCCTTTAAAATCCTTCCCAAATTGACTCATATTTAACATTTTGATAAAAAATTGTGACTTAATAGCTGGAGCAAATTAAAAATGAAAAGAACAAGGAGAATAGTAAAGAGCTCCTCTTGATTTTTGTTTTCAAAATATTTTACTCTGACTCAGGAAAAAGACCTCCAAAGAGTCTCAATGTACACCAATTCTGAAAAGGAGAAAATGAACACCAGTTTGGTTTAAGCTTAACACTAATGTTTTTTTATTCTCTTAGATCTACATGGAAATTAATGTTTGTTATAAAAATTGAAAAGCAAAAGTAGTGCCTCAAAAATTTCTTAACCTTAAAAGTGAAAATAGCTCCAAAACAAAAAAAAATTATTAAAGCATGAAAAATTCTTTCTCATTTCAGTTCATATTATTAAATATGAAGGGTTAAATTTGAAACTATAATGTCATTCTTTGACTAACTTACCACATGCTCCAGATGCAAATCTACAAATCTTATTTCCAAATAAATGAAGCTTCTTCAAGGAGGTAAGGTATTTCATCTCTTCTGGGACTTCTTCTAAAAGGTTGTTTCCTAGATTTAGTATTTTCAACTACAAACATATAGAGATTTAATCAGCTCATACATTATCCACCTTCAGATGAAAAAATAAATAATTTAAGCCCCTTTGCTCAGATCTACCTAACTTAAGGAAACCAAGATATTTGAGAATTACTTCATTTACACACCTGAAAATATCTTTATGAAGTTCACTTGAGCTTCATGCTCAAACGCTATGCCAATTAAATCACAATTTAAGTCTTAATCAAAGCACTCAACTTCATTAAAATCATATTACAAATTCTTATAATATGTAAGAAAATTCTTGGAAGAACTTTTGCTATTATGAAAAAAATTAAAAGGGGCATTTTAAAATAAACTAATGACCCATTCATAACTCACTTGAGCAACCCAGCAGTATTCTAACATTGTGACCCACAGAATCAACCACTGAAATCTCAGTAAAAGGAAATCAGAAACAGCTAAAGATCTGAAGACTTCCATCATACTATTCCCAAATGAGCTAACAAGACCACTCCATTATGTGGATATAACTTAGGGTCTTTAACTTTGGCGGCCCTCTGTGTGATCACAAAATTCACAAAGGCATCTACTGAAATGGTCTGAGTAAACCAGAGAAGATGTGCCCTGGATGTACCTGTCCTACAAATAACAGATTGGTCAGACATAGGAAGAACTGCACATAGAAAAAGGTTAAAAGTTCCCTCTTAGTCTTTTAGTTCAATAAATCAGTGATAAAGGATTGTTTTCTAAAGCATGGCAGTTTTCTTTCTTTCTATTTATTTATTTATTTACTTATAGCGGGAATTGAACTCAGGGGCACTTAACCACTGGGCCACATCCCCAGCCCTATTTTGTATTTTATTTAGAGACGGAGTCTCACTGAGTTGCTTAGAGCCTGGCTTTTGCTGAGGCTGGCTTTGAACTGGAGAGCCCGCTGCCTCCTGAGCCACTGGGATTAGGGTGTGCACCTCTATGCCTGGCTTTTCTTTTTATTTTTATTGGTGCATTTTAACTGTACATAATAGTGCATTAATTGTTATATATTTATATACGCAATACAATTTTGTCAGTTTTGTACCCCATACCTCCCTTCCTCTCCCCTCCTCCCTCCCCCTTGTCCCCTTCCTCCACTCTACTAGTCTTTTCAAGAGACAAAAAATCTGCTCTTTGATTTCCAAGTGTAATTTACCACTCATGGACAATTATCAACTTCACGGTTTAGACTTTTAATATTAAGGGCAAAAGAAAATGAATCTTGGGTGCTTTCACAAATCAATTTATGCAAGACAAGAAAAATAATTAAGGTGCAAATTTGAGCAATTTTACATTTTTACTTATATTTGGTATAGACTTTTGTCAATGGTTTAAATTAATATAAAAAATAGTAGACAGAGACTTTTACAATGAAATTTCTTATCCCAAGAATTCATGGTAATGGTTTCACTTCCATATGTGTTTTCACCTGAGAATTAACATTGTTCTATATACGTGTGTGTGTATGTGTGTGTGTGTACACGTGTGCATGTGTACACAAGCACAATGCATTTATTAGTTTGGAGACCTTATTCTATTGTAAAGGTGAAGTTGGAATACATTCTTGCAGTCATTTGAATGAAAAGGCTTATTTCAGAGTCTGTAACAAATTATCCCAACCATATCTTTGCCCTTTTTAATTTTTTTCTCCCTGTTCTGTCCTTTATTTACTCCTTTCCATGTTTCTCCCTCAGTTGATTACAAAAGTCTCTATCTCCCGCTTTCCAGGATAAGCAGTGTCACATAAGCCAAGAGGAAAGAAAAGGAGAAGAAAATGATTTCAAGAAGAAAGATGCGGGTCAACTCCAGGGGGAAGGTTAAGTTTAAGAAAGTACAAAAAGAGCCACTGGATTTAGCAACATGAAAGCCATTAGTGACCTTAACAATAGGGGTGAAGTGCTGGGCAAAAAAGTCTGATTGAAGTGGGCTGTGGATAAAATATAAGAAAGCAAAGACAATAACTTGTAGAAAATTCTTGTAAGAACTTTTGCTATTAAGAAAAACATAAAAAATAAGCAAAGAACTGGAGGGTATTTTTTTTCCTTTAAATTCAAAACTAAAAAGATAGTACAGCTTATTTATATGCTGATAGAAAAAAAATCCTATGGGAAATGAGAAACTAATTATATAAGGAGAGGGATAATTACAGAATCAAATGATTTAGAAGATGGGACTCAAAGTACAAGCGGATGCTGGCCAGAAGAGTAGGGGCTCGTCATCTGGGGTAGTAAGAAGAAAGGTAGAGAAAGCAAGAGCAGGTAGGGAAGAGAATGGGTTTGGTGATGGAAAGATGGGGTTCCTGACTGGCTGGCAGTATCTGTTTTCTACACAAGATATGAAACAAAGTCATCCAGTGGGAGGAGAAGATACAAGAGTCTGAAGAAAAGGAAAAAAAAAATCATTGTACAAAGTAAGCTAGAAATACCACAGGGGGACTGACTATCATGGTTGGTTTTTGATCCAGCTTAGCTCCCAGAAAAAAAAATGTTGCAAAAGGCACAGATGACCCAGAAAGGCCATCTTTATCTGATGTACTAACTACAGAGCAGTTTGGCTAAAAAATGTTACACAAATTCTAAGCTCTACAAGAAAGATTGTGAAATGTAGACATTAAAAGGGGGTGAAGAAAATATGACCTGAGGTTTGTTCTTTCTTTTCTCTCTCCCTCCTCCTTCCTTTCTTCCTCCTCCTTCCTTTCTTCCTCCCTCTTCCACTCCCCTTCCCTCTTTCCTTCCCCCTTTCCTAGGAATTTAACAGAGAGGTGCTTAACCACTGAGCCATATCCACAGCCCTATTTTATTTTTTGAGACAGGGCCTCTCTAAGTTGCTGAGGATCTGAAACTTGCAATCCTCCTGCCTCAGCCTTCTGAGTCACTGGGATTATAGGTGGTGCCACAGCACCCAGAAAGGTTATCCTTCATAGAGTAAGATAACCAAAGGAAGTCTCAGTGGTGGCCTTTAACTTCACACATTTCTCCTAAAGGACAGATGACAGGATTCACATTCTGTTGCCTTGGCAAACATGCAGGCTTCAACACATATTACTTAAATTATACATAAGGTGCAGGGACACTGAGGAAAAGACTGAGTTACCTTGAGAAATGTCTCACAACCTAGATGCTTCATGAATTCAGTTATATTTATCATGTGTTTATAACATACTGGAAGCTCTCTTCTGAATGTTACAAGTACCACTGTGAACAAGACCCAAAAGATCCTGCTTATATGTTGAGAAGTGGGGCAGACAACAAATAAGTAAACAAACAGACCACCAATTCCCTTTAGTGCTCAGTGCTAGATATGAAGGAAAGAAACCAGGAAAATGAGATGAAAAGTAAAATGAGGTCAGGTTAGATTGTAAGGAAATCAAAAATCTCCTCTGAGGAGGAGATGTTTGAGGTGAGAAATTTAGGACTTCTTGATAGGTTGTTCAAAATGGTTTACTGAAAAGATCTGCAGAAATAAAATAAATACACACACACATACACACACACACACACACACACACACACACTACCGCCCCACAGGAAAGAGTTTTTGCCATGTTTCATTAGTAACACTGCATGGTTGTGGATAGTTCCTAAAGAAAGGTTTTCAGTTATATAACATACAACATGATAAGTTTTAAAGCCTGCTTTACTTCAATAATTATTTAAAGAATGAATTTCTGCTGGTATTCTTAGTAACTCCTCTTGTTAATAACTTCTTATAAACCCATGACACAGGAGTTAGAGCATCTCACATTTAGAAGTACCTTTTATAAGTCATCAAGTCCAACATAAAAACACAGTTGGGCATTTCCTCATGAACACATCAGTAAAAGGAGCTCTTTTATCCTGTTCAAAAATTTCATCTATTCATTACCTTTTGTAATTTGGCTTTCTGTAACTTCTAAATAATTCTTCCACATCAACAATAAAAAATAGTTTTATTCTCCTATGTAACAATCTTACATTTTTGAAGATTGTGATCATATTCTTCCTAAATGTGCTCTATTCTCCCCTAACCATGTCCCTTAGGACATAATTTCCAGACCCCTGACCATCCTGTCTGCTCTCTAATCTTTCTGAGTGCTCCCCTCTGAAGATATGGTGCCTGGGGTGAGACGAGAAATGAGAGCTCATAGCACAGATGCTGGTGGGACCACTGGGCTCCCTTGGGCAGATGATTACACTCGTCTTAATGCATTCTAACATGGCATGCACTCTTTCAGCAACAGGGCACATTGTTGGTGCATAATTAATTTTGCCTGTGGCCAACAAACCCTCCTAAGTTAGCTGTCAAGCAGATAACCCACATCCTGAATTGTGCAACTGAATTCTTTTCTTAACCTAAATGTATGATTTACATTTAACTCTGCAAAAATTGTATCTTGTTGGTTTTGGCTCCTAAGTCATCTCCAGAGGGTCACTCTTAATTCAAAGCCTAAAACTAGATAAGACTGCAGAATAAGCTAGTTCTGTTTTTCCCACCTCTACTATGGACAATACACCCATTGTTCTTATAATACTTTGATGGTCGAACTTTGGAATTATTAAATATAAAAAAATGACAAACCCCAAAATAGTGTGACCTGGGAAGAGGAAATGAGGAAGAATGCAACATACATTGATAACATTGACCCTTTCCCAATACATTCTTTCCCAGTGACAAGACAAGCCCTGGGGAGGAGACATCCATCAAGCCTGGAATGACATTCTCTGGGAAAAAGCCAAAACATTGATCTTTCCCAAAACAAATCCTTCCCCAAACCCTCCATCTTGCCCAGTAAAAACAGATCTGAAATTCCTGAGTCCCCAAATTGACATGCTCATTAATTTAAGTCACCTCTCAGTGTAATCTATATAAGCACAGATTCCCACTTTGGCCAATGACTCATTTTCCACCAGGAAAGTGGTCCACCAGATATGTGATTTCACCACTGAATCAAGGCTGTGCTGATCCATGAAGTTTGCACCTGGCTCCGTCCTTTTGCACGAAAACAGAAATCACCTA